TCCGTACAGATAGTAATCGGCGGTAAATCCAAGCCCTGAGAGGGTTCGACACCAAACTTATAGACATAGGGATAGTGCAGGAAATCTGCGGTTATCTCAAAGCCTTCATAACATAATATTGTGAAACAAAATACTTTCAAAACTAACAAATATTTTGTTTTTAAATTAGCATTTATACAATAATACACTTTCTTTGCAGCTATAGTTAAAGTGATTACAATATATTTTGTTAATACATAAGTTTTTGTCGCAAATATATTTAAACTGATTATAATATAATTGATTAATAAATACATTTTCATTGCAAATATATTTAGTAAATGCATTTTTATTTCAAATTTATTTATAGTAAATTTGAAATAAAAATACAACTTTTTGGCTCAACAAGGCAATACATTATATTTTTGTTATGACCCACTTTGCATTTACTTTAAACTAAATTACTATAGAAACCAAATCAATTGAACAACAATTAACAAAATGTACCAGCAATATTATTATACTCATTAAAAAATACAAATTTTTATCTTTTCAATTATGTCATTTGAATGTAAATTTACATTTATATTCAAATATAATGTACTGTATATCATTAATTAATTTTTACTATTATCATATTGTCATTAACATATTTTATTTGGTGATATCACGTATACTTATAGTGTGAGTGTTATATGAAATAACTGATTGTAAACTATAAATCATGCATTAACAAAACTTTAAAATCTTAAAAATAACGTTGTATTAAATCAATAATTTTATCAAATGTACACAACACTAGTAATATAAACTTGTAAACATTATTAATACACAAAATGATGACTGTGCTTTTAAAAAGCTATTATTTTATTAATCATTCAAACACAAAGTTAACTATTAATACTTATAACTTTGTATTTTCAGATTTATTCATATTTAAAGCTAATAATTTCCAATTTTAACTCAAAATATTAATGATTAATCAAAATATTCATAGCAAAATAAACAAAATTTGTAATATACTAAATTATTCATTAAGGATAAAAATACTAGTGTTGTATTAAATGATAAATAATGACTATGTTTTCCAACGTTAAATAGTGTTTCGAAATATAGTATTATGATTATAATCGATATTAACTACATGATCCATATATTATATTATATTATTAACTATAGGGGTATGTGTTTTATTTACACAAAATATAATATAATATGTTATGATCCACTTTGCAGTTACTTTACACTAAATTTGTATATTATAACACATTAAATTATATTTGAATTTAATGAATATAATGATATAAAAATATTAGTGCACCTTCAATACGGTATACTGTATTTATACTAAATTAAAAACTTGGCATAAAATATGACATGAGTCTATAATTTTATACCTATAGGATTACATAATGAAAACATATTAATATTTATACATTTAAATATTGCTATAATTACCAATCACATTTAGTATCCAATAAATTTTGTCAAATACACGAACCCATGCCATCATATTATCGCCTGTCGGACACACTTCCGGTGTTTTAATACCTTTAAATACAACGATCACTACCACCTGTCCTTTGACATACTGAATCAATGGTTACCCAAAGTCGCCTGGTAATATACATAACATATTCAAAAATGCGTCATGTTAATATGTAACAATTGTTAATATAAAATGTATATCATAAATACTTGCTATATACCAATGATTGACACAAATGTGCATGGATCAATTCGTACATTTTTTGAAAAAATCAAATTAAGATAAATATTTTATTGCATATTCCAATAGTGACTGTTAATATTGTAATTGCGTTTATAAATATAAACTAGCATTAGATTTGAAATTTGAAATTTGTAAAATATCACTTTTTGGACTCAAAATGAAAATTTGGTAAAAATATGTTTGTTTTATATTAATTGTAGCCAAAACTCAACTTCCATTTATACTACTGTTAAGTACTTTTAAGATAGATATAGCAATTTACTATAATATTATTCTTAAAATCCTATTTACCTAATAATTTGCAAAGTAATTATAATTACTTACCATTATAATTCCGTATATTTAAATCAAATATCTATTTTTACGTTATATTGCATTCATTTTAACAAAAGTTTTTATTCAAATTATTAATATTACTGTACAAATAATAAATTATTTTTGTCAGTTATCAAAGCAACTTTTTTGTAGGGTAACAATAGTTAACTCACTTACAATTAACAATCAAATCAATACACAATTAATACAGTTTATAAAATCTTTAAAATATTTACGTTAATAAAAAGAGTTTAGATAAAATTCAGATAAAGATATACATGTTATGTGTTTATTAAAATAAATGTTAGATTTACTTGCATTATGACAATGATTTTACTTTTAAAATATGTATATTACTCTAAACAGATGACAATAATTTTAATTTACAGAAAAATCACTTTCATATCACGTAATATAAATAGAATTTTGAAACAAGAATTATTATATTTTAATTATTTTATTACCGGTAAGTATTAAACATAAGTGCAAAACAAATACCATTATTCATAGACAGTATCTCATTAATAGTGGCAAAAATACAACTTTAAAGTATTTTATTGATTTAAATTAAATGTTTACTCTTGAACTGAATATCCATTAAATTTTTAAAACCCTTTCATAGAGAATATGTATTGCATTAGCCTTTCCCATCAACCAGTGTAAGGGAGTGTAAGTGTCATCGATATATTTATGATGAATATATAGCCCACTTTCCAAACACCGTTTGATACTAAAATAAATGCAACTTTTTAATTAAATTTCCACATTATTTAAATAAATATATAATTACGCTAAAATAATTTGTATACCTACTAAAGCTACGTCAAATATATCTAATGAACCTGGCATTTTTTAAAAGTACATTTGAGATACTAATAGAAAATATAATTATACAATATACGTAAATTTTGTTATTTTATTAACGAGATAATTCATGAAACCAGTAATTAAAATAACCTATACAAAATTAATATAATATATTATGTTTCATAATTTTTTAATAAAATTGAATATATAATATTATTGTAATGAGATAATTTTAAATTGACAATAACGTAGACATCAGTGTAATCCGTAATTACTTAACACCAGTTCCTTATGCTTACGATAAGCATTGAGTCTATCCTTTGAACATTCCTATGAAATGAAAAGATGTTAATTTGAATAAAAGATTACAAACAAATAAATGCAAAATCACTACAAACCCAAAATCCGTATCGCATGGGAGAGGTGCGGGCTTTTGTGATACACCAGAGGGTCCACAATAGGTGTGCCGCGAGTGCGAAATAGTCGGCCTCACGGATCAACTGGTCCTCCGTTTCCCTGTCGATAGTCAAGTGCTTTGAGTGTCGGATGTATTCCCTGACGAACAGCCGTTTCTGGTGGTCGTTGGGATAGGCGCTGAAGTCG